AATTTTACTGACATCATGTGAAAACCAGCTATAGAAAAGCACCAGTCATAGTATTAAACGATAAAAACAAGGATGGTTAAGGATGGAAAAGATTACAAGTGTATAAATTTAGGCTAAACTTTTCAAGATGCGCAAACCATGATGTAGCTCCTTTAAGATACCTAAGATTTACCCTAAGCCTCCTCAGTGCAATCCTGCCCTCTGAGATGCTTCTAATGCCAAATGGAAGAATAGCCAAAGAAAACAACAGAACATTGAATATTGTTGTCACTGTAAATGCCTGAAAAGAATGATGATGCATAACTCAAATATATGTTGAGCTGTAATTATGAGATATTTGACCAAGAGGTCAACTCATAAGTTTAGAGTTTTCAACTATATATAACTGTTTTTCTAGCTGTCCCACATATCAATGCCAGGTCCACTTTCTCCCCATTGCATGAAGTGGCCACAGAATTTCTGTTAACTAGAACAAAAGTGGAGGAGAAAGGAAGGGCAAGAGAGCAGAGCAAAGAAGAGGACAAATGATAGCGAACATGTAAGGCAAAGCACGTCAAGGCAAGGTGTGGAGAGCACAGGAGAGAAACTCTTGCAGTGGGAAAATGGAAAAGCACAACTAGAGCTAAACAAGGCATAAAACTAAATTTGTGACATACTTGTGAAGTAGTGAGGTCTTTTCCTGCAGCTACATGTACACAAAATGTTCCCACAGTGGCAAGTGTAGGACAAATCAATGCTAGTGAAATGTTTAAACCCTGCAGGAAAGCACCCTTGACAAGAGCCTTTCGTTCAAGTTGTCGAATAGCTACAAAATAAACAACAAAATGGACATCATCATCAAATGGCAATCAAGTAGTTAATAATATGAGACTAATCAATAATTAAATTTAATTCCAAACAAAACTAATTTTAGTCTGAAGAATCAAACGACTTTCTTATAACACTGCACTATATTTGTGGCCAATACACACCAACTGCTGCTGAATGTGTAACAAACAAACTAGTGTTTGCCTTCTTTCACACATTCTTAAGTTCCACGTACATCTACATAATAGGAGGGGGCATTGGGGTATATTAGAAACTGCAAAACTGAAGAAAAAAATCATCCAAAACCAAAAACCGCATTCAAAACCGTCAAAAACCGATACAAAGGTGATAAGAGGGGCATACAGAGATAACTACACTAAAAATAATTTTATCAAAGTATTTGTGAATGTCATGGACTTGTCTGAAGCCTTCATATCTTTTAGTATCTTTTAGCTTCTGCAGGCTTCTCTCTTCCCTTTTCACTTTACATCTAAAGGTGTTTTGCTTTCAAAAATTCTCACTGCCTTTCCCCTCCTCTAAAAAACAAAAAATCCGGAAAACGCAATGAACACCAAAACCGAAAAACTGAAGTCTTTTGGCAGAAAAACTGAAAAAGCGATCTAAAAAATAGCCAAAACCGCAAAACCGAAAATCCCAATGCCCCCCTCTAATAGCAGCTACATACAAAATATGTTGCTGAAAATACTTTTTTTCTCACCAAAATTCTTTATCTTATTTCCAAGTTTTATAGTACAGTAAGAAGGAAAATCTGGCAATTTCAAAATGAACAGGAAACTCCAAGAAATGGGTTCCTCAAACCAGGAGATGGACATTGCTTTTAGCACTTGCAAAATCTGCCGTTTTGTGCTCCATATGGA